TATCGAGATTTTGTAATTTCCAAATTAATCATGAGGAAACCTATAATGAAATACAGTATAATCATGGTCCTAATGAATGCTAAAAATGTGCCTGAAGTTCAGTACTGAACATACAACAATAGTGTAGTGTAATGATAATGATAATTAATGGCCTAAATAAATATGAGATGGTATGGTACTTGCACAATGAAAAACATAAGAGTAATGAAATTTTTTGCCATAATTCTTTAACATGGATTACTACAGAATCTCATGCCGAAGGTCTAGTAAACTGAATATCCTCTGAAAGGTGGGTGCTGACTTGTAGCGTGAAGAGTGAGGCAACTTGAGAAAACTAATACTATATACAAATAGTTGGAAGGAAGTAGAGTACTCAAAGCTGCAGTACAGCTGTGCAGTGCTTACATAATGGCAATGCCAAGAGTAAAAAGTGTTCTTTAAGCCAAATTATATTACAATATTAATATTATTGTATTAGTATTTCTAATACTGTAGTACAATAATTATTTCTGTTATTTGCTGTAACTAACATTTTAATTTTATTTTGATATACTACAGTAATATATTACAGTAGAAATTTTCAAGCAAGACATTATTATTGAATTAGTATTACAATATTAAATTTTTGTGTTTTATTATAATGATGATGGCTATTAACTGACTATTATACTATGTACATTACTGTGCATGTTATGAATGCTAAAAAGCACATTTTAACAAGTTTATTATTATTATTATTATTGTTATTAGTAGTAGTAGTAGTAGTAGTATTACATAATCACTTAATGCCAAAATGCGATGACAATTAAGTGTGTGTCATTCACTGAGCTATATAACCTGAGCAAAATTTACAACCACTAATGAAGAGTACAAAACTTTTTTTTTTGTATAATTTAGGCTGCAAAAATTTGCACATTCAATATTTCTCAAAGGTAAGGGTGATATTTGCTTAATGAAAGTGATATGGTGATTGCAATAAGTAGTAAGTAAAAGACATGCATGTAGTGATGAAGACATTTATTAACCCCTTCAGGGTTGGGAGGCCCTCTCCTGAACTTGTTCTCAGGGTCGAAAATTTTTCGGAAAAAAAAAAAAAAAAAAAAAAAAAAATTCTTAAGAAATGATAAGAGATTTTTTCCCGATCATAATGACACCAAAAGTATGAAATTTGATGGAAAACTGACGGAATTATGCTCTCGCGAAGTTAGCAGTCTCGCCGATGTTTAAGCATCAGCGATTCTGCCCACTTTGAGCCCTATTTTTGGCCAATTCCTGTGTACTAGTCGATAAAAACCATATTTATTTCGCTAGAACTCCATTTTTTCTATTGAATGAGTACAAGAAACCACCCATTTACCAATTTCAACTATCCAATAAAGTGGTCAGAAATTGGCAATTTTGCCAATTTCACACAAATTTCAGAAGATGCCAATTTCCAAATAGGGTCCAGAATAAAGAAAGACATCCCTGGCACTAAAATAACAAGTTCTCTGTTCATTAGTCACATCCCCAGGCCCCTCTTATATTTCTTTTGCTTTCCACTTTGAATTTTTATTCTTACAAAAAATAGAAGATTTATTGTTATGCACACTACTGTATTAGTGTAGAAATGGTATAAATAATATCAGCGCACTTGTGAAAGAATATTAGACTCACCAGCTGACATGTATTGGACCCTTGGCATGATTTGTTTACTTTTGAACTTTGGTAAAAATCGAACATTTCTTCTACTTTGAGCTCAATTTCAAGGTAACCAGTCAAAATCATCTCAATTTCTGTAATATGTCTTCCATTCTATAAAATGAGACCAGGAAAACTAGAATACAACCACAAATACCATACGAAAATACAGTGCAAAGTCGCTGTTTCAATCCAAAGACATGGTCAAAGTTTTTTTTTTCTCATTACACACTGAGTGCTGTAGGATTTTTTTTATACTGCACACACTGACCACATAGACCCATTCTTTCATATGTAGGCCTACCAGATTTCTCTCGCTAGATTTGAAGGCGCTAGAATTTAGGCGTACTAGTACATCAATAACCCTGGTGCGTAAGCCGTACTAGTACGTCGAAAACCCTGAAAGGGTTAAGGAAACGTTTTGCCACAGGTGGCTAGAATTAGGACTAAACAAGCCACTTGTGGCAAAATGTTTCCCTAATGTCTCAATCAGAGCATGTCTTTTACCTACGTAATATTTGCTAATCATGGACTACAACAGAGTGCTTGAAAAGGTAGACAGAAAGCAGGTGCTGAGGTAAGTGAATAAAGTTTTGTGGTGTTAAGTTTCATTACTCTGCAGTAAAAGGTGAAGAAAGTTTTGTGATAAGTTTCATTACAATGCAGTAACTTAAAAGGTGAAGAAAGTTTTGTGGTAAGCTGCATTACTATGCAGTAACTTAAAAGGCGTCTTTGGAGGCAGCAGATTTTCATCCATAGCCAACATATGCAAAAATTCTGTCACACCATCCTCAAAGAAATTTCTCAACTGCAACAATTCTATCAGCTGACAATGTTCTAGTCATGAGATACAAAGGCAACATTTTTTTAATAATCAGTTTTTATTTAGCAATTAAATCTGAAACTTGAATTAAATTTTTAACTGCTGCAATAAATTGGCTATGAATAAAGCCTATTGAAGATGTAATCATAACATGAGCTTCAAGAGACAGCTACGTCATACAACGCAGAGGACAAAAACAAACTTTGTCTCCTGTGAAGGACCCTGTGTTGTTTGGACGAATAATTTTCAGTGGAGGTAATATTGGTTTTCGCTCCCTCCAACGGCCTTTTGCAGACTGAAGATAGTAAAACAATGAAAACTATTATCTCTCTCCCAGAATATCTATCATATCTCCTCTACTCCTAAGAATACAATGAATATATTTAAAAATACTCTTAAGCAACTCTCATCTTCAGAAGTTGGAGAAAGCTACCAGGTATCATATACTATACATTTCTGAGTATACCTGTTAGTGCTGGTGCAATAAAGTGTGACAAACACTAATCAATGAGAGGAAATCTCACAGGAGACAAAAATGAAGAAGTATGGTAGTCTGTATAATTTGACCTCTGGCTGAGGCCCTCTTCAGCAGAATACAAAGCAATAAGGAGAGAGCATACAAGTGTTTACACTAGTTGGAGCTTCTTGGGTCATTAAGCTGCTATATATATTCCCTAATAGCTGACATTTTACAGGGATGTGAAGGTGTCCAGGTTACACCCAGTAGTGGCATCATCCTGAGGACACTACTTCTCACATTAACTCGTCCACATAAGATAATACTGGAATTTATGGAAAGCATGGAAAGCATTGTATTAAGCCTACTATCAGATGTTGGTGATGTCTGATAAATTTTTTGTTGGGATATTTCTTGAGTGCATGATTGGTCATTATATCTGGTTTGAAATTTCTGAACAGTTTCAACTGATTTCCATTTGTATGGGTCCTCCATTCTGTAAATGACGTTGGCAGCATCACAATGGATTGTGTGGTGGGAATTCCTGATAAACTGGAACAGGGCAGAGCATTGTTGACCGTACCTGACTGAGCGCTTCTGCTCAGTTATCCTGGTTCCCAAGGTCCTTGCCAGTTCCTCCTCCTACACACCAAATCACAATTATTGCATAGGAATTTGCATACTTGTATTTCACTTTAAACTTGTGTGCCAGTATAAATATTTGTGCACTCTCTTCACTGCTTCATATTCTGCTGAAGAAGACCTCAGTCACAGGTCAAAATATACAGACTACCATTCTTTCTCACCTTCATCTCCTGAAGGATTTTCTATCATACTTGTTAATTATTTGCAAGAAAATTAGAAAGCTTCCGTGCCTCCACATGGCATTTCATGCAAATTATAAAATGCATTATAAAGATCCTTCATTGCATAAACTAAAATCAGAACCTGCCATTTAAAAACACCTTTAGTTTTACAAAAATGATGCAATGCAATTACATTTTAGGATTTTTTCAAATGGTCTTACTAGCATCCTACTATGCCATACATGCTTCACTGGCAAGAATAATTTATCAGCCTACACTTAACCATTTTGCCATTTTTTTTTTTTACCACATCAGCTGTTTCCTACCAAGGTTGAGCATCTCAAATAAGGAAACACACTGATTTCTTTTCCTTGGACTATACTCAGGCTACTATCTTACATGGAAGTCTGTTCCATGGTCTCCACTTTCATACTGTCTTACAATGACTTGTGTTTTCCCACTCTTAGATGCTTTCATTATTTTTAATTGCTTCTATTCTCCATTTTTAGAGCACTAAGCAATGGAGGCTCAATCCTCTGTATGCTAATCATGACCCAGTCTCTAACCAGTCAGTCTATTGGTGATTGCAACCTAAACCCAGTACAGGCAGGCCCCACTTTACTGCACTTTGCTTTACAGCATTTTGCAAATACAGCACTCTTCAAATATACCTTTTTTTTTTTTTTCTCTCAACAAGTTGGCCGTCTCCCACCGAGGCAGGGTGACCCAAAAAAGAAAGAAAATCCCCAAAAAGAAAATACTTTCATCATCATTCAACACTTTCACCTCACTCACACATTATCACTGTTTTTGCAGAGGTGCTCAGAATACAACAGTTTAGAAGCATATACGTATAAAGATATACAACATATCCCTCCAAACTGCCAATATCCCAAATATACCTATTCTTTATTTATTCAGACTTCTTAAAATAAATATATTCACCACTCACTATAAACTAAGGAAAAAATATTTGAACGTAAGTAATGTGTGTACTGTATATAAATTTTTTAGGCCTACCTACACTGCTCACTTAATATATGATAGTGCAAACATGTTATCAGGCTTTTATTTACATTTAAAAGTGAAAAAGATACAATTCACTTTACAGTGATTTTTCACTTTACAGCAGCAGCTCAGATCCAGAGCCTAACCTGCTGTATAAGCAGGGCCCTCCCATACAGCAAAATATAATTCTCCGGCATATATTACACATACTACAAGTTACACCCACCTGCGAGGCTGTTACATTTGGACGTGATACTGACGAGTTCACAGTTGGCCCAACCTTACTGGTCTCACTATTTGGCGTGGAGGCATTTGATGACGTGGCGCTAGTGTTTTGGGGAGGCATATTTTTCAGAGCAATACTAGGCTCTATATAAAACCTGCAGAATTGGAGTGATATTGTTTTATTAATAATATCACATCTTGTTAAAGCATATTCTGAGCATACAAATTTTGAGACATGTTAAATTTACTATAATGTACATACACGTAAGAAGATATGGGCGAGTGCTTTTCAAAACTGACCAAGCACTAAGACAATTGTTATTCAGCACTTACATGCCAGAAATACTGTACATACTATGGGCTTTAAGATTACTGTATATTCTTATATAATGACATGTTAGACATTATTATTATAAATTAATGGCCCTTAAAAAATAATTAAAATATCTATATTAAAGCCATGAAGAAAACAGCCATGACTGGACTATGTTACTTAGTATACCTAATACTCAACCATTTCCCCAGGTTTCCCTTCCTCCACTGGATGACTGGACTGTGTCAAGTAGTATACCTGATACAAAGAACTTTCACAGCACACATGAGTACGATAAAGCACCTAAATTACTGGGAACGGTTGAAGTCCCTTGATCTGTATTCCCTGGAATGCAGGCAAGAAAGATACATGATAATATACACTTGGAAAATCCTAGAGGGACAAGTACCAAACTTGCACACAAAAATCACTCCCTATGAAAGCAAAAGACTCAGCAGGAGATGCAACATTCCCCCAATGAAAAGTAGGGGGGCCATAAGTACACTGAGAGACAACACAATAAGTGTCAGGGGCCCAAGACTGTTCAACTGCCTCCCAACATAAGAGGGATTATCAATAGACCCCTGGTTGTCTTCAAGAAGGCACTGAACAGGCACCTAAAGTCAGTACCTGACCAGACGGGCTGTGGTTCGTACACCAGTTTGCGTGTGGCCAGCAATAATAGCCTGGGTGATCAGACCCTGGTCCACCACGAGGCCTGGTCTCAGACTGGGCTGGGAGGGCATTGACCCCTGAAACCCTCTCCAGGTATACTCCTAGGTCTCCCTCCCTCCATTGGATGGCTGGATTGTGTCAACTAGTATACCTGATACTCAACCATCCCCCCAGGTTCCACTCGCACCCTCCACTGGATAACTGGAGTGTCAACTAGTATACCTATTACTCAACCATCCCCCAGGTCTCCCTCTCTTCACTGGATGACTGGACTGTGTCAACTAGTACTATACCTGACACTCGACCGTCCCCCCAGGTCTCCCTCCCTCCATTGGATGACTGGATTGTGTCAACTAGTATGCCTGACACCATCCCCTGGCTCTCCCTCCCTCTGCTGGATGACTGGATCGTGTCAAATAGTATACCCGACACCATCCCTCAGGTCTCCCTCCCTCCACTGCCCCCAAGGGTGATAGGTTTGCTGAAACTTTAGTTGCGTCACAAGGCTCAAGTACACATGGCCTTCACAGATAACCCTGCTCAAGCCTCACATGAGTGCACTATAATCAATATGCTCTGTTATATACATACACACTTCCACATGTCTCCAATTCATGTGTAAGTTTATTTAGGTAGAGGTCCACATAAGTACAATTATCATATAGAGTAACATGTTTAAATTACCTAGGATAACCCAAAAAATGTCAGACTTATTCCCATTGATGTACTATCAGCATTGTTTTAAATCTTATGACAACATATTATTTAACTTTCTAAAATGAAAAATGGCTATTGTCTAAATTTAATGATTATGTCAATGATCATGATGACTTTTTGTACAGAATTTTTAAAATGGTTTAAATTTGTGGTAAGGTTTTTTTATTTATGGTTCAATGATATTTTAAACCCATGTTCATATTTATAATGATTGTTTTTTGAATAATGATTTAAAATGCTGAATGCATTAATATCACATTTCTCTCTCTTCCCCCTTCTCCTCTCCCCTTCCCTTCCCTTCCTCTTGTTCTCTCCCTCTCTCTTGCTTGCTCTCCCCCCACTCTCTTACTTGCTCTCTCCCCCTCTCCTGCTTGCTCTCTCCCCCTCTCCTGCTTGCTCTCTCCCCCCTCTTGCTTGCTCTCCCTCCCTCTCCTGCTTGTTCCCCCCCTCTCCTGCTTGCTCTCACCCCCTCTCTTGCTTGCTCTTATCCCCTCTCCTGCTTGCTCTCTCCCCTTCTCCTGCTTGCTCTCTCCCCCTCTCCTGCTTGCTCTCTCCCCCTCTCCTGCTTGCTCTTCCCCTCTCCTGTTTACTCTCTTCCCCTCTCCTGCTTACTCTCTCCCCCTCTCCTGCTTACTCTCTCCATCCCTCTTCCCATCATTCCCCATCTCTCTCTAAACTCCAAAAATCCTCAATCAGAGAGTACTGTACATAAATCTTAACATAGTGTACTATAACACTTAAGAAATGCTTAAAATAAGATCATTTAAAATATCTTCAAGTTATATAGTAGTTGCAACTTATCATAACTTACCCAAGAGACTGCACTCCTGTGTACTGACCAAAAAATGGCTTCAAAACACTATTTCTAATTTCACTTATTATATTTCAAGGAAACATTAAACCCAAAGGGGTCATACGGCACCTTGAGGAACATGATACAACAAGGTTGATCTAAGGGAGGGAGGGACACACCCAATTCCTTGCATCAAGAGCCCCTCCCCAGCATCAAGGAACCACGCACGAGGGGTGCTAAAACCACTGATAACTAGCGGTGTGCCAGTTTTGGTATTGGTACTGGCCTAAAACCGAGTATCGGTATCAGTAGGTATCTGCCAGTTTTGACAGTACTAGTATCAGCCTAAAATTGAGTACCAGTATTGGTAAAAAATTTGGTATCATCCCATCCCTACTGAAAGCTAACATGAATGCCTTCCTTGCAACAAACATATTTGTCTGAAACTGTGACAGAAGTGAGGTACTGTACATACCTTTTAATACCAAATAAGAGTTGAGGATCTGTGACCTTAGCCACTGATAAAGGGGTAATAGCATATGAAAGAAATTTGGGCAAGAGCACATGAAAGAAATATTGTGGACTGGCAAGCTCACACATGCATAACTTGCAGATGCTGAGAGTACAAAAACTTTTAAATGGCTAAGAAAATTTTATTCGGATTAACTCCAAAGGGTTAATAACAAAGCAAGACAGTGTGGCTTATTCCCACTGGTTCTCTTCCTCAGGATGCAACCCACAACAGCTGACTAACCCCCAGGTACCTATTTACTAAGTAAGCAAGGGTAGTAGGTGTTAGGAAACATGCCCATATATTTCACCCCTGCCCAGAACTGAGCCCAAGTCCTTCAGCTATGAGCCTACTGTGTTACCACTGGTTGAAAGCATTAAAGTGAACCAAGCTATTATTAAAGATTCTTTATTTCAGCATGATACAATGTTTGTACAGCAACATTTAGGTGTACATGCCAAAAACCCCTTAGTATGCAGAGCAGTTTGGGCAAACTTAAGCCTATCTTGAAAACTAGTAAGGCAATAATTATAAGCACAGTCTCTCAGTGGTTGCAACAATCTTGCATAAATTTGGTAGAATACTCATGAAACACATATCCTCTTATGATAATACTATATATGGAAATAAAGTAAAAGAATAGTGGCTGTTTGTTTAACCCCTTGACTGTCGCAACCCCAAATCCTGAGGTCTGTCTGTCTGTCTCTCTCTCTCTCTCGCACACACTCTCGCACACACTCTCGCACACACTCTCGCACACACACTCACACACACTCACACACTCTCACACACACACACACACACTCACACACACACACACACACACACACACACACACACACACACACACACACACACACACACACACACACACACACAAGAGAGAGAGGGGTGGGTGGATTGCATTTTCTTGGACTGCAAGAAGGCATTTGACACAGTACCACACAAGAGATTGGTGCAAAAACTGGAGGACCAAGCAGGGATAACAGGGAAGGCACTGCAATGGATCAGGGAATACGTCAGGAAGACAGCAGCGAGTAATGGTATGTGGCGAGGTGTCAGAGTGGGCACCTGTGACCAGCGGGGTCCCACAGGGGTCAGTCCTAGGACCAGTGCTGTTTCTGGTATTTGTGAACGACATGACGGAAGGAATAAACTCCGAGGTGTCCCTGTTTGCAGATGACGTGAAGTTGATGAGAAGAGTTCATTCGATCAAAGACCAGGCAGAAATACAAAGGAATCTGGACAGGCTGCAGACCTGGTCCAGCAACTGGCTCCTGGAGTTCAATCCCACCAAGTGCAAAGTCATGAGGATTGGGGAAGAGCAAAGAAGACCGCAGACGGAGTACAGTCTAGGGGGCCAGAGACTACAAACATCACTCAAGGAAAAAGATCTTGGGGTGAGTATAACACCAGGCACATCTCCTGAAGCGCACATCAACCAAATAACTGCCGCAGCATATGGGCGCCTGGCAAACCTCAGAACAGCATTCCGACATCTTAATAAGGAATCGTTCAGGACCCTGTACACCGTGTATGTTAGGCCCATATTGGAGTATGCGGCACCAGTTTGGAACCCACACCTAGCCAAGCATGTAAAGAAACTAGAGAAAGTGCAAAGGTTTGCAACAAGACTAGTCCCAGAGTTAAGAGGTATGTCCTATGAGGAGAGGTTAAGGGAAATCAACCTGACGACACTGGAGGACAGGAGAGATAGGGGGGACATGATAACGACATACAAAATACTGAGAGGAATTGACAAGGTGGACAAAGACAGGATGTTCCAGAGATTGGACACAGTAACAAGGGGACACAGTTGGAAGCTGAAGACACAGATGAATCAAAGGGATGTTAGGAAGTATTTCTTCAGCCACAGAGTAGTCAGGAAGTGGAATAGTTTGGGAAGCGATGTAGTGGAGGCAGGATCCATACATAGCTTTAAGCAGAGGTACGATAAAGCTCATGGTTCAGGGAGTGTGACCTAGTAGCGACCAGTGAAGAGGCGGGGCCAGGAGCTTGGACTCGACCCCTGCAACCTCAACTAGGTGAGTACAACTAGGTGAGTACACACACAAAACTCATGAAATGATAGAGAATATTTTCCCGATTGTAATGACACCAAAAGAACGAAATTTGATGGAAAACTGACGGAATTACGCTCTCGCTTAGTTAGCAACCTCAGCAATATTTACGAATTGGCGATTTTGCCCACTTTGAGCCCTATTTTTGGCTAATTCTATTGTTCCAGTCAACCAAACTCATAGCTATTTCTTTAGAACTCCATTTTTTCTATCACTTGAGTACAAGAAACTGCCCATTTACTGATTTCAACTACCCAATAATGTGGTCAGAAATATGCAATTTGGCCAATTTCACGAAAATTAAAAAATATAACAATTTCAAAACAGGGTCCAGAATGAACAATGCAGATATTCCTGGCTCTAAAATAGCCTTTTCTTTGTTCATCAGTAACGTCTCCAGGCCCCTCTGATATTACTCTTGCTTTCTATTTTGAATTGTTATTCAAACAAAAAATAGAGAATTTACTGTTATGCAGACTACTGCAATATTGTAATAATTGTATAAATAATGTCAACCCATTCATAACTGCATATTAGAATGACTGCTTGGACATTTATTGGAAAATGACATCATTTGTTTACTTTTGAACATCGGCAAAAATCAAACATTTCCCCTATTTTGAGCTCCATTTCAAGGGTCTTTTCATAGTAAAATCAATCAAAATCACCTCTATTTCTATAATATGTTTTCCATTCTATCAAATGAAACCAAGAAAATGAGAATACAACCATAAATACTATATGAAAATAAACCACAAATTTGGCATTTTAATTAAAAAAAAAAAGGTCAGTTTTTTTTTCTTATTATGCACTGCGTGCTGCAGGATTTTTTTATATGGTGCATACTGACCACACAGACCCATTCTCTCACATGTGGGCCTACCAGCTTTCTCCTGCTTGATTTGAAGCTGCTAGAATTTATGAGTATATGTACGTCAAAAACGGTGGCCCGTAAGACATATATATACGACCAAAACAGTCAAAGGGTTAACATACAGAATGGTAATATATCGAATCTAGCCAGTGGTATATATTATATATGCACACATTATTTGCACATGAGAAAGTGAGCAATGTTCTCACACTCAAAAAATTGAATATAATTATGTATACTGCTGCATATCGGGGAGCTACAAACAATAATATCAAATTAACACAGGGAGTAAGAGTTCAAAATTTGAAAAAAGTCTACCAATACACTGTATCTCTAATTATGAGGCTACAGTTGAAGAGCTAAGAAGGATAAGAGTAGCTCTCATAATTTCTCTAAAATAAAATTATAGATTGCGCTAACAACCAGCCGTAACATACTTTTAGCACAAAAAAAAAAAACTTGCAACAGCATAATGAAAAACCCTGAAAAAAAAAATTATACAAGAAAACTTGCCACTGCAGGATGTATGAAAAATTAGCATAAAATAAAAACTTACTAGCATAGGAAAGGGGTGTTAAAAGAAGCCAGAGGTGAGACGGGATACTGTGCAGCAGAGAGTATGACTGACTAATGACTCTCCTTTTACAGGTCCTGCCCTACACTGCGCCCAGCACACATACCACTGGTTGTGTCTGCTAGCTCAAGGTCAGCTCAACACGTGCCAGTAGCAGAGGCCACAACACTGTGTACGCCCTTGTACCACTCATGTGACAAAACAGAGCAGCATACATACAGGAGAGACTTAAAACCAAGACAGAGGTGATGAAAAAGAAAAGATGACAAAAGGGAGGGGAATAGGGGGAGGAGAAATATAGAAATGAGGAGTAGAGAGAAGGATATGGAGAGGTGGATAGGGGAGACAAAGGGGGTAAAGGAAGAAAGGGATAAGCAAGGAGAGGGGGATAAGGGACAAGAGAGGTGGATAAGGGATGGATAAGGGATGAGAGGGATGGATAAGGGATGAGAGGGGGGATAAGGGAGGAGAGGGGGGATAAGGGAGGAGAGGGGGGATAGGGAGGAGAAACAGAAATTGGGTAGGAGAGAGGGATAGGGCAGTAAAGAGGGCAGGAAGGGGGGTAGGGGATAGAGGGGGACAGAGCAAGAGGGCCAGGGGATAGGGCAGAAGAGAAGGATGATAGGGCAGGAGAGAGGGGAAGGTAGGGTAGGAGAGAGGGGAAGGTAGGGCAGGAGAGGGGAGAAGGTAGGGCAGGAGAGAGGAGAAGGTAGGGCAGGAGAGAGGGAAGGTAGGGCAGGAGAGAGGGGAAGGTAGGGCAGGAGAAAGGGGAAGGTAGGGCAGCAGAGAGGGGAAGGTAAGGCAGCAGAGAGGGGAAGGTAAGGCAGCAGAGAGGGGAAGGTAGGGCAGCAGAGAGGGGAAGGTAGGGCAGCAGAGAGGGGAACATAGGGCAGCAGAGAGGGGAAGGTAGGGCAGGAGAGAAGGGAAGGTAGGGCAGGAGAGAGGGGAAGGTAGGGCAGGAGAGAGGGGAAGGTAGGGCAGGAGAGAGGGAAAAGTAGGGCAGGAGAGAGGGGAAGGTAGGGCAGGAGAGAGGGGAAGGTAGGGCAGGATAGAGGGGAAGGTAGGGCAGAAGGGGAAAGGAAGGACAGGAGAGAAGGGAAGGAGGGCAGGAGAGAGGGAAGGAAGAACAGGAGAGGGGGGAAGGAAGGGCAGGAGAGGGGGGAAGGAAGGGCAGGAGAGGGGGGAAGGAAGGGCAGGAGAGAGGGAAGGTAGGGCAGGAGAGAGGGAAGGTAGGGCAGGAGAGAGGGAAGGTAGGGCAGGAGAGAGGGAAGGTAGGGCAGAAGAGAGGGAAGGAAGGGCAAGAGAGAGGGAAGGAAGGGCAGGAGAGAGGGAAGATAGGGCAAGAGAGAGGGAAGGAAGGGCAGGAGAGAGGGAAGATAAGGCATGAGAGAAGGAAAGTAAGGAAGGAGAGGGGGGAAGATAGGGCAGGAGAAAATAGATAAGGTGATAGCAAAAAGAGTGAGATGCAAAAAAGAACAAGAGGAACTAGGAGAGAGAGTGGGGGAGGGGGAGGAGATGAGAAAAGGGAAAGGGTGAGTGAGAGAGGGGATAGGGGAGGAGAGGTATAGGACAGATGAGAAAAGAGAGAGTAGAGAGGATGGGGAAGAGATAGGCATTGGAAAGGGTAATAGGGAAGGAGGGATAGGGAACAGGAGAGGATAGAAAGGGGGATGGGGAGTGGATAAGGAATGTGACAATATTTACACAGTAGAACTGAGGTCATTCTACAATCAATAAAAAGGAGTGACCATGCACATGCCCACAAATATAGGAGGGTCCCACTTTACAGCATTTCACTAATGCAGCAGTTTTCAATTATACCCATTCTTCATTTATTCAAACTTCCTACAATATATTCACTACTCACTATAAGCTAAGGATGAAAATATTTTAAAATAAGTAATGCATGTACTGTATATGCATTATTTAGGTTTAGCTCTGTTGCTCACTTAATATGTGATAGTGCAAAGATGTTATCAGGCTTTTATATGCATTTGAAAGTGAAAAAAAAAGCTATGATTCACTTTACAGCAATTTTTGCTTTACAGCAGTAGCCTACAACCTAACCTGCTATATAAGCAAGGCCCTCCTGTACACTCAAACACTAAAGCACTCAAAAAATATAATACAATCATACAGGGAAAGAACAAGAGAAGGGAATCTAAGAAACATGTTCATTAATATAATCCTGAACAGTATAAAAACAGTGCTACTACAAAACAGTTACACTTTTTTTTTTCAACACACCACCCATTTCCCACCAAGGCAGGGTGACCCAAAAAAGAAGAAACACTTGCATCATCACTCGCTCCATCACTGTCTTGCCAGAGGCACGCCTACACCACAATTCAAAAACTACAACGTATCTTCATGTCTCTTTCAGAGCTCAGGCAATGTACTTCCCGCCTCCAGGACTCAAATTCGGCTAACCATCAAAGAATACTGATTGGTATTTGATGAAGAAATTACAAGATTAAGGCAGAGCGCCCTACTAGTCTCATCACTGAGTAAAGTTTGTCACTCTAGGATCGCATAAGTGAAACTGGGAGTAACTTGTGCACACCTGCCAACTATAAAACAGTCATATGCTACACCTGTCAACTATAAAACAGTCATATGCTACACCTGCCAACTATAAAACAGTCATATATAAGGATAGATAAATGCTCAATAAATATTCAAATGTATGTATGTTAGGCCAAAATTGCAATGTGCAGATGGGGTGAGATATCTAAACCTAAAATAACATTGAGACAAGATAGAAAAAATCCAAAGGCAAGCTGAAAAAAAAAAAAAAGTGCTGAAAATACCCCTGTTGGCTGATAAGAGGGAAAGACATGATAGCCATATATAAAGTCATAAAAGTATAAGAGAATTATTAAGAAATGATTTCTTAGCAACATCAGCAGCAAACAAAGAGGCCACATTTGTGAGTTGAAAAGTGATGTCAAAAAGTATACTAGCCAGTCAGCTAGCCTTTGAAACTTGTATATGATAGTGTGAATAGTTAGCCAGTCGAGTCCTGGAGGTAGAAGGGGCAGTGCCTGCACTGGAGGAATGGTGGGGATGCAGTCAGAGGGCAATCTGATCTGTGATGTCAACATATTTCTGGCAAGACAGTGATTGAATGAATAATGGTAAATGTGTTTCTCTGGATCATCCTGCATTGGAAGTGCAGGAAGCATACACACAGCTGAAATTCTGCATAAAAACCCTTCTTGTGAGACAAAGTTCTGGGTTTACCAAAAATGTAGATTGACCACTTGACTATTAAAAATTTAAAGCATGCATTGCACCATGTCATGCCTCATCAAACTTCAATTTTTACAAAGTATACAAATAATTAACTCTCTGAACATAATAGTCAAACCCACCTTTTCTTTTCATATTTCATTATCATGAAATCTCTAATCTTATGTTCATCTTTGGTGTCAGGAAAGGGACTGATCTTGGCATCATAAAGCCCCAGCCATATAGCTCCACAATACTGTAAAAATGAGTAAAATTGTAGTTATTCTTCAGACAAAGATTATTATAATTTCTGAAACAAAATGTATGACACCTCGAAACCTGACAACTCCCCTATTTGTGAAGGTCAGAAACAAAATGAATGAAACAAAAATGAATGAAACAAAATGTATGACACCTCGAAACCTGACAACTCCCCTATTTGTGAAGGTCAGAAACAAAATGAATGAAACAAAAATGAATGAAACAAAATGTATGACACCTCGTAACCTGACAACTCCTCTATTTGTGAAGAGCAGAAATATCACTCATTTGGTTTCCAGGCAACACTTATACACACAATGTAAGAAATAAATAACTCTGACATCCCACATGTTCACCTTGACCCAAGCAGAAATTCAAGGCACATTCACAGATCCAAAATTAGAGAACTCAATATCAGATTATTCTATAAGTTCTGCATCTGCCAGTTGCTTTAAAAAAATCATCAAAAAACGCCTCTCGAATTTTACATGAATCACGAAGGGCAATTATACACGTCAAATTTACCTCTTGCTACCTATCTTGATTCCAAACAGCATACAAACTCATGGCCTTCTTACCTCAGCTATGTCCCAACCAATGATTTAAACCTTCAATATTATTTTGTCTTACTGTCCCCTCATATTAATATTTTTTAACATACCAGCCATCTCCCACCAGGTAGAGCAATCCGAAAAAGAAAAAGAAATACTTCCATCTTTATTCACTCTATCACTGTCTTGCCAGAGGCATGCAGATACAACAGTTCTGATACCCCTCCAAACTGCAAATATTCCCACGTCTCCTTCAGAGTCCAGACACTGTACTTCCCACCTCCAGAACTCAGGTCCTGAGTTTTTATATTACTGTTATAAAAAGAAAGTTTTGTTCGAGCAATTGCTGTATTAATAATCTTATCTTTAGGCAAATAATAATATGTCAGTCTTAGCATCCACATAATAAAACCTGAGCTTATCAAAGTCGTGTAATTTTGTGTCTTGCAATTTTAAGTTAGTCTTAACTTGCCCAAAATGCATCGTATAACTAGAGGCTTTTCAAGAAGCCATCCTTGTGAAGCATTAGAAACAATGTCACACCTACATATCTTCGTGATACGGCAAACAAAGATTTTTACTAACTTTTTATTTTGATTTGATTACCGGGAATCTTCACAGGACACTTATAAATAAGTAGCTAAGACTTAAAAAGAAACCCTTAATGAATTTTTAATAATAGTGCTTATATTCACTCATCTACTGCTGCACAATTTATTACACAAAGATACAGTCCACTATTAATTCTCATGTGCTACTGCATGATTTATGTCTAATGCACACAACAAATAACCAGAAACACAGTCATTACTTGTTTTTAACCTAAGAAAATAAACTCAATTTCATATCTGTGTTGCTGTTATTAACTTTTTTCAATGATCACAAGTAGCAATTTCAAGCAATTAAAATACTGTATGTTTCACAAGGATAAAGAACAATGATGATGACTTACCTGGTTACCCTTTGATTTTATTTGTTCAATTTCCTCCTGTGTGAAACTAGCCATAGAGATGGACTTGACACGATGAGGAGGGTTTAAGCCACGGCTGAGAAGAGAAAATATTTCTAAATATTTTTTATAGTGCTCAGTAGCATTATACAGAATAGATCTATTAAATATCAAACCATCTAAATGATTTCCAGAATCAATGCCCCCATGGCTCATTCTCAGACCTGGACTCCTAAATCAGAAAAAGATATAAAAAACAGACTTATTAAGGAATGCACAAAAAATAAAAATAACTATACTTTCTTTCTTTCTTTCAACGCACCGGCCGTATCCCATTGAGGTGGGGTGGCCCAAAAAGAAAAACAGAAGTTTCTCGTTTTAAATTTAGTAATATATACAGGAGAAGGGGTTACTGGCCCCTTGCTCCCGGCATTTTAGTCGCCTCTTACAACACGCATAGCTTACGGAGGAAGAATTCTGTTCCACTTCCCCATGGAGATAAGAGGAAATAAACAAGAACAAGAACTAGAAAGAAAATAGAAGAAAACCCAGAGTGTGTATATATATGCTTGTACATGTATGTGTAGTGTGACCTAAGTGTAAGTAGAAGTAGCAAGATGTACCTGAAGTCTTGCATATGTATGAGACAAAAAAAAGACACCAGCAATCCTACCATCATGTAAAACAATTACAGGTTTCCGTTTTACACTCACTTGGCAGGACGGTAGTACCTCCCTGGGTGGTTGCTGTCTACCAACCTACTACCTAGTAATAACTATACATATAATGAATTAAACAGAAATTTGTAAAACTTACCTGTCATCTTGCAGAGTACATATTCACGAGGCAGAAAGGAAAACCCCAGTATTATGACCAGAATGAAAATGTTATAACAGGCCTTTGCTTCACTTTTACATGAGTTATAGTGCTGTACCTTCCTAGATGGTTGCTGTCTACCAGCCTCCTATCAATATTATAAATTTTACATGTTTGCTTCTAATGTGCTTTCAAAACAGGCATAGTCCAGACTTCAATCATAACACCAAGATTCTACATTGAGGCACCAATCAGTTTTGCATCACTGCCTGACAACTGTGCTCATTAACTGGCTCAATAAAAAAAATCAGTCCAAACAGACATGTACTGTTCATTGTAACACAGAGCATCAAGTGTGGAGGGTAGCATTCCAGTTTAATATCTTATATTAGTACAGGGATGGGAAGACTTTCTGGCCAACCTATACACTAAAATTATCCTAATATGTACTGTGGCCGATGTTGCAAGTATATGGAATAGGTGGTAAGTTACTAAATGCTGTAAAGAGCTTTTATGAGGACAGTGAGGCTCAGGTAAGGGTGTGCAGAAGAGAGGGAGAATACTTCCCGGTAAAAGTAGGTCTTAGACAGGGATGTGTAATGTCACCATGGTTGTTTAATATATTTATAGATGGGGTTGTAAAAGAAGTAAATGCTAGGGTGTTTGGGAGAGGGGTTGGATTAAATTATGGGGAATCAAATTCAAAATGGGAATTGACACAGTTACTTTTTGCTGATGATACTGTGCTTATGGGAGATTCTAAAGAAAAATTGCAAAGGTTAGTGGATGAGTTTGAGAATGTGTGTAAAGGTAGAAAGTTGAAAGTGAACATAGAAAAGAGTAAGGTGATGAGGGTATCAAATGATTTAGATAAAGAAAAATTGGATATCAAATTGGGGAGGAGTATGGAAGAAGTGAATGTTTTCAGATAGTACTTGGGACTTGACGTGTCGGCGGATGGATTTATGAAGGATGAGGTTAATCATAGAATTGATGAGGGAAAAAAGGTGAGTGGTGCGTTGAGGTATATGTGGAGTCAAAAAACGTTATCTATGGAGGCAAAGAAGGGAAGGTATGAAAGTATAGTAGTACGAACACTCTTATATGGATGGGAAGCTTGGGTGGTAAATGCAGCAGCGAGGAGACGGTTGGAGGCAGTGGAGATGTCCTGTCTAAGGGTAATGTGTGGTGTAAATATTATGCAGAAAATTCGGAGTGTGGAAATTAGGAGAAGGTGTGGAGTTAATTAAAGCATTAGTCAGAGGGCAGAAGAGGGGTTGTTGAGGTGGTTTGGTCATTTAGAGAGAATGGATCAAAGTAGAATGACATGGAAAGCATATAAATCTATAGGGGAAGGAAAGAGGGGTAGGGGTCGTCCTCGAAAGGGTTGGAAAGAGGGGGTAAAGGAGGTTTTGTGGGCGAGGGGCTTGGACTTCCAGCAAGCGTACATGAGCGTGTTAGATAGGAGTGAATGGAGACGAATGATACTTGGGACCTGACGATCTGTTGGAGTGTGAGCAGGGTAATATTTAGTGAAGGGATTCAGGGAGGAATAACAAGGAATAGCAAGGAGGAATAACATCTTGTAAGAGTGAGGAAGAGCCAGTTGTGAGTGTGGGGGAAGTTCGTGAGGCAGTAGGTAAAATGAAAGGGGGTAAGGCAGCCGGAATTGATGGGATAAAGATAGAAATGTTAAAAGCAGGTGGGGATATAGTTTTGGAGTGGTTGGTGCAATTATTTAATAAATGTATGGAAGAGGGTAAGGTACCTAGGGATTGGTAGAGAGCATGCATAGTTCCTTTGTATAAAGGCAATGGGGACAAAAGAGAGTGCAAAAATTATAGGGGGATAAGTCTGTTGAGTATACCTGGTAAAGTGTATGGTAGAGTTATTATTGAAAGAATTAAGAGTAAGACGGAGAATAGGATAGCAGATGAACAAGGAGGCTTTAGGAAAGGTAGGGGGTGTGTGGACCAGGTGTTTACAGTGAAACATATAAGTGAACAGTATTTAGATAAGGCTAAAGAGGTCTTTGTGGCATTTATGGATTTGGAAAAGGCGTATGACAGGGTGGATAGGGGGACAATGTGGCAGATGTTGCAGGTGTATGGTGTAGGAGGTAGGTCACTGAAAGCAGTGAAGAGTTTTTACGAGGATAGTGAGGCTCAAGTTAGAGTATGTAGGAAAGAGGGAAATTATTTCCCAGTAAAAGTAGGCCTTAGACAAGGATGTGTGATGTCACCATGGTTGTTTAATATATTTATAGATGGGGTTGTAAGAGAAGTAAATGCGAGGGTCTTGGCAAAAGGCGTGGAGTTAAAAGATAAAGAATCACACAAAGTGGGAGTTGTCACAGTTGCTCTTTGCTGATGACACTGTGCTCTTGGGAGATTCTGAAGAGAAGTTGCAGAGATTGGTGGATGAATTTGGTAGGGTGTGCAAAGAAGAAAATTAAAAGTGAATACAGGAAAGAGTAAGGTTATGAGGATAACAAAAAGATTAGGTGATGAAAGATTGGATATCAGATTGGAGGGAGAGAGTATGGAGGAGGTGAATGTACGTATTCAGATATTTGGGAGTGGACGTGTCAGCGGATGGGTCTATGAAAGATGAGGTGAATCATAGAATTGATGAGGGGAAAAGGGTGAGTGGTGCACTTAGGAGTCTGTGGAGACAAAGAACTTTGTCCTTGGAGGCAAAGAGGGGAATGTATGAGAGTATAGTTTTACCAACGCTCTTATATGGGTGTGAAGCATGGGTGATGAATGTTGCGGCGAGGAGAAGGCTGGAGGCAGTGGAGATGTCATGTCTGAGAGCAATGTGTGGTGTGAATATAATGCAGAGAATTCGTAGTTTGGAAGTTAGGAGGAGGTGCGGGATTACCAAAACTGTTGTCCAGAGGGCTGAGGAAGGGTTGTTGAGGTGGTTCGGACATGTAGAGAGAATGGAGCAAAACAGAGTGACTTCAAGAGTGTATCAGTCTGTAGTGGAAGGAAGGCGAGGTAGGGGTCAGCCTAGGAAAGGTTGGAGGGAGGGGGTAAAGGAGGTTTTGTATGCGAGGGGCTTGGACTTCCAGCATGCATGCGTGAGCGTGTTTGACAGGAGTGAATGGAGACAAATGGTTTTTAATACTTGACGTGCTGTTGGAGTGTGAGTAAAGTAACATTTATGAAGGGGTTCAGGGAAACCGGCAGGCCGGACTTGAGTCCTGGAGATGGGAAGTACAGTGCCTGCACTCTGAAGGAGGGGTGTAAATGTTGCAGTTTAAAAACTTTAGTGTAAAGCACCCTTCTGGCAAGACAGTGATGGAGTGAATGATGGTGAAAGTTTTTCTTTTTCAGGCCACCCTGCCTTGGTGGGAATCGGCCAGTGTGATGATAAAAAAAAAAAAAAAAAAAAAATCAGGGAAACCGGTTATTTTCATATAGTCGGACTTGAGTCCTGGAAATGGGAAGTACAATGCCTGCACTTTAAAGGAGGGGTTTGGGATATTGGCAGTTTGGAGGGATATGTTGTGTATCTTTATACGTATATGCTTCTAAACTGTTGTATTCTGAGCACCTCTGCAAAAGCAGTGATAATGTGTGAGTGTGGTGAAAGTGTTGAATGATGATGAAAGTATTTTCTTTTTGGGGATTTTCTTTCTTTTTTGGGTCACCCTGCCTCGGTGGGAGACGGCCGACTTGTTGAAAAAAAAAAAAAAAAAAGTACTGTTATTTTCCTTAAGGAAACCTGCCATTATTATCAATGACACAAAAAAGTTTCCCTAAAATCTAGCTCTAATTTTCTTTGTTTCTTGCACTGTTTCGTTTCCCCTCCTATTATGTGCCCTTTGCTTGTGTGCCCACTGTACACAATACTGTGAAAGTACAGCTGGAGCCATATGTATCCAATAAAAATATTATAATATAAAATGTAGGTCTATTTACAAGCTTAAGTCAACAAAACATTCTGCACACCCTTCAAGAGGGAACTCCTTGATGCTAGTGAAGGCCTCTTGATCCATGGAATTGGAGTTAAATCTCTCCTACACGAGAGCAAACCTAAGTACCTCTTATTCCCCAAGTACTGTATGACTAACAAATTTGGTGCTTGCCCATGAATACATAATAACTTAAACTAAAACACATACACACACACACAAAAACACACACACACACACACACACACACACACACACACACACACACACACACACACACACACACACACAGTGGTATGATAAAGCTCACGGTTCAGGGAGAGTGACCTAGTAGCGACCAGTGAAGAGGCGGGGCCAGGAGCTAGGACTTGACCCCTGCAACCTCAACTAGGTGAGTACACATGCATGCATGCATGCACACACACACACACGCACACAGCTTTACAGGTATAGTTTCCTTTAGCAGTTCCAAGTTTTTCTTCTCTCATCCATA